CCTGCTGCTGCTCCTCGTCCTCGTGCTGCTCCTGCTGCGGCTGAGGCGAATCCTCACCAGTTTCACTCTCCTGCTGCTGCTGCTGCTGCTGCTGCTGTTGCTGCTGCTGCTGCTCATCGGGGGCTGCATGTTGCTGTTCTGGCGCTACCGTAGCAGCAGCAACAGCAGCAGCAGCAGCATGCACAGCAGCAGCTGCTGCTCTTGCTGCTGCAGCAGCACCCACATCGCTTGCCTGCTCTCGCTTTAGCATCTTCCCTGGTCTCTGCTGCTGCTGCTGCTGCTGCTGCTGCTGCTGCAGCTGCTGCTCATGCATGCGTTTGGATATTACTGGGCTTGCTTGCTGCTGCTGTTCCTGCTGCTGCTGCTGCTGCTGCTGTTCGTGCTGCTGCAGCAGGAGCAGCACAGAAGCATCCTCCGAGCCTTGCCCCTCGATAAGCTGCTGCTGTCGCTGCTGCAGTTGCTGCAGCTGCTGCAGCTGCTGCAGCTGTTGCTGCTGCTGCTGCTGCTGCTGCTGAGCCTTTCTGAGCTCGTCTTTTGTGCGGCGCAGCTGCGACAGCAAATGGTGCTGCTCTAGCTCTGCTGCAGCAGCCTGCTGCTGCAGCAGCAGCTGCTGCTCCCCCAGCTGCTTCTGTAGGACTTGGTTTTCTTCTGTCTGCTGCTGCAGCAGCTTCCTGACGGCGGTGAGCTCCTTGTCTTGCTGCTGCTTCAGCTGCTGCAGCATCCCTATCTCTTGGTGAGCAGCAGCAGCAGCAGCATCCTTCAATGCTTGCTTCCTCCCCTCATCCTGTGCTGCTGCTGCTGCTGTCTTCACTGCATGCAGAGCCTGCTGCGCTGCAGCACAAGAGACAACCCCAACCCTGACGACGCGGCCGACAGCAGCAGCAACTTCTGGTGTTAGTGCTGCTGCTGCTGCTGCTGCTGCTGCTGTTCCTTGCTGCTGCTGCTGCTGCCCTAGACGGGAACGCAGCATCTCATTTGATTTACGCTCACGCAGCAGCTCCTCTTGTATCTGCTGCAGCTGCTGCTTTGCTGCTGCTGTCTGCTGCTGCAGCTGCTGCACCTGCTGCTGCTGCTGCTGCAGCTGCTGCACTTGCTGCTGCAGCTGCTGCTTCTCAGATGTGCTGCTGCTCACGTCTTGCTGCAGCTTCGATACCGTACCCTCCAGCTCCGTCCTCTTCGCTTCACTCTCCTGCAGCAGCAGCAGCAGCAG